TACTGTGAAAGACATAAGCATTTTGTTTTTGTTTTTATTTTTTTAAGTGCCTGCTATATGCCAACAATTGTGCTAAGTACTTTACAATTATTACTCAGGGTCATGTGAGCAACAAGATGGCAAACTAGAAATTTTCTCTAATCCACATGACTTCTCAAAACTCTCCAAAACAGAAATTATAGATCAAAGATAAAGTAACTTCAGTTGTTTCCATAATCTAGGACACCTAGAAACCAAAACAAAGGTTTAAAAAATCCACTCAACCTAGCCTGTTGACCCTGAGCTTACTTAGCACCCCTTTGCCACCACCCATCCAATCAGCTGCTAGGCTGCGCTAGCAGACCCAAGGACATGACACAGGGTTACATGAACACTCATGCTTGCACCACACCCCATTTTGCCCTCCCTCTTTCCAGTGTCACAGAGATGCTGGCTCCAGGCCATGGAATTTGCTTAGTCCTCAGCAACAGTTGGTCACAGCCCTTCAGGAGTAAAAGACTGCTGGGACTGAAGGCCTGGAAGCACCAACCCTGCAAAGCTCTGAATTGTCTACAGCTCTGAACTGCCAGTGCCAGGGAAAGCAGGCTCTGGATTTACACTGGATGAGCCCTGGGGGATTTGAAGTTTGAAAAGTCCACTTATCTGAGAATCGAGGGAATGGGAACCCCTGGGGCAACTGGCACCTGGAGAAGTGGGATAGCATAGACAAAGAAGAGATTTCCAAGCAAATGTAGAAAAAAAAAGTCAACAAGAGAGTGTATGGATCAGTGATGGGCTGCACAATAAGGGAAGGTGCCTATCATGAGGCAATGTCCTCAATACCCGAAATAATTGGCTTTATACTGGAAATGAGGCACAACAGAAAAGGAGTATTCATGGGGTAAGCCCTATAAGGCAGGGGCAGAAAATGCCTAGAGGGGAGATCCTAGAATGTATATCTTGATAACTCTGTATGTATGTATGTATGGTATGAAAAAAATCAGAAAAAAGTGAGATAACAGATTATTACAGGGGTCATAAATCAGAGCATGAGGGAATAGAATAAACAGAAAGAGAAGACAGATATGGAAAGTGTGAAATATTTTTTGGAAAGGCATGCAAAAAATGAAATGTATGTATATAATATACTAATAACCATTCCCCAATAGATAAATGATCAAAGGATACTAAATTCTCAGAAAAAATACAAAATATTCACAAACACATGAAAAAGCTATCCAAATCACTAAGAACAAGAGAAATGCTAATCAAACCAACCCTAAGGTTTCACCTCATACCTCACAAATTGGCAGAAGTGCTGAAAAATGGTGAGGCAATGATTGAGGGATTTTGGAATGATAGACACACTTATACACTGTCGGTGGAGCTGTCAAATGGTACAACTATTTTGGAAAGGAATTTAGAATTATGCAAATAAAGTGATTAAAATTTCCATACCCTTTGAACCAGAGACTCCATTAGAAAATAATTGATGAGAAACACATTTTCATATACTCTAAAATATTTATAGCAGCACCTTTTGCGATAGCTAAAAATTGGAAACAATAGATATCCATGGAGTGGAGAATGGCTAAATAAATTGTGGCCCATGAATGTAATAGAATGTCATTGTGCTATAGGAAATGATGTCTATGATGAATACATAGCAGCCTGCAAAGATGTATATGAACTTATGCAAAATGAAATAACCAGAGCCATGAAAACAATATACATAGTAACTACAAAGTAAATGGGAAGAACAGTGAGTGACACACTAGACCAATTTTTAAAAATTATATAGATTATGTGTAACACAAAAGAGATATGAGAAGATACCCCCAACCTACCTCTTTGTGGAGGGTATTACACGTTATGCATGTTTTGGGATTTTATGAATGTATGGATCAATTGGATTGACCTTTTTTCTCTGTAAAAAAATAGTACTTGAGATATGGAATGGCTCTCAGGGAGGTGGAGGGGGAGGGATACGTGGGATACTATGGTGATGTAAGAAAAAGAAAATTTTTAAAAAAAAAACTTATTATTTAAAAAATACCCCATTTGATCCTCAAAACAATCCCGGGAAATAGGTGCTATTATTTTTCCCATTTTGCAGTTGAGGAAACTAAGACAGAGGTTAAGTTTTTTGCCCAGCATCACAGAGTTATTAAAAGTGTAAGGCCAGATTTTAATTCAGTTCTTTTTGACAACAGGCCAAGGACTCTATCCACTGTACCACCTAATTGCCTTTATATACAATTTTTTTCTGTCTCTGTCTCTGTCTTTCTCTGTCTATCTCACTTTCTTGCTCTGTGTAACACACACACATTTATATATTCACACATATGTAAACATACATATGTAGATAATATAGTTTTATAGTTATATATAGTCAGTCACATATGGTTATCTATCATATCACCTATATGTAGTGAAAGGTATATTCTACATGTATACAAATACATAATACACCTACATTTACACACATAATTAATATACTAATATATTTCCATTTGTATTTCCCAATACTTATCCTCAAATATGGAATACAATATATGTGTGTTGATAGGTTGCTTGGTATATCACTTTAAAGTATACAGAATGCTTTTGTCACAGCAACTCTGGGAAGAAAAATGTTCATGTATTATTAACACTTTATTACAACTGAAGGGATGGGTACTTTGGAAAGCTAAGTGACATTCTCATGTCACATATATGACTTGAAAGCATTGGAACTGGGATTAGAAGATAAGTATTTTTTATGGCTCCAAGCCTGTAACTTGAAACTTCAACCTCTGACATTCTAGTAGTTTATGATCTATATACAGATGTTTCTTACAGTGTATTTTGGTGAAAAGAGGTTTCCAGTTAAATTACTTAATGAGAAAGCAAGTTAAAGATCTACTCTTTTAATCAACAATTAATTGAGGGCAGCTAGGTGGCACAGTGGATAGATCACCAGCCCTGAAGTCAGGAGGACCTGAGTTCAAATCCAGCCTCAGACCAAACACTTGACACTTACTAGCTGTGTGACCCTGGGGAAGTCACTTCACCCCAATTGCAAAAGCAAACAAACAAACAAAAAAAAAATTGATGTCATAGCCCACCTAATCAAGTACAGAATATTCAAAGTCAGGCTCAGTACAGTTTTTTGAGATAGAAAACACTAGGTTCACTTTCTTTCCTAGTTAATTTGATATCTTGCTTTATTTTTAATATTTTGCTCTTTATTATATATACAACATCATAGAGTGATGTATTTTTTTTAAATAACATAGTAGTACCAAGACAGTGGTAACTGCTTACCCATTATAAGACATGACATGACATGCTTCTTGTTTCCATTTACATCCATAAGATGAACTCTTAACATTCAATAAGTCTTACCTAATGTACCCTAAAGATAATCCTTTATTCTATTTTTTCCAATTTTCTTTATTTTGAATTTTTATGTGAGCTTTTATTGTAAGCTGTGCAATGAAATAAAATTTTATTTCATTGCTGGATTTGAAGGATTACTAGAAATATTGTAAAAAACAGTGTTTTGAAAGTCAAAAACCTCTGTATGATTTTCAAAGGTGTCCTGATCTTTGCATTTTTCTGTGATATAAACACAATGTACTTCTACCAGAAATATGACTTTTTGGCTTGCCTACTTCCTTCCTTGGCTCCCCACTTTATACTCTCAGGAAGGAGGGCTTAGGTTCCTGTCATACTTTATTATCCAAAGTCATTTTATGACTAATTTCCAGAGTACTGAGTCATATTGAGTCTGTTGCTTATCATTTCTCTGTTTTTCTTTTTCCCACACTGTACTGGCTCTCTGACCTCGTGTGTGTGTGTGTGTGTGTGTGTGTGTGTGTGTGTGTGTGTGTGTGTTTCTTTCTCCTAAAATTTTAAATAGAATGAGCTCTCCTCAAAAACAGAAAGTGGTTCAGTGGGTTGTGAGGTTTGGCTTTTTTTTTTTCTTGGGTGTTAGAATACATCATACTACATGAATCTATGCTGGGCTATGCTTAGCCCAAAAGACTAAGAGTACTTTCATATCGTGTCACATCAAACCAAAGGACTGATGTAAATCACAACTGTTCTCCTAAAAAAAACATATCTAGATCTGTGATTTCCTCATTGCAAGGGACTTTCAGGGTGAATGAACCCTGAAAAGTTGCAGATCTGCAATTCTTCCATACTTACAGCTTTAAGGAGTGGCCTGGGGCACTAAGTGATTTGTCCACTGCCACACAACTAATATCTGTTAAAGGAAGGACTGGAACCCAGGTCTTACTAACTGAATGATTATCCATTTTAACTGTGCCACTTTGCTCTCTTTTGGTTTATTTTAAGACTACAAAGTTAAGGACTAGATTATTTTTATCATTGGTTCATCATCATAATGAAGATGTCTTGGTCTCTGAAAAATTAACAGGCATCCCTAGAGATTTTATTTCATACTTTCACAAAACCTTTAATTTTAGACGTTATGCTTAATCTTGAAATGACACTAAATTCATTCCAACAAGTTGAAAAGGATTTCCAAAAGCACTTTCATCCACATGAAAGACTCCATAAATTAACAAAGAATATAATTTTTTCCTTCCAAAGTACTGGCTGTCATTATTTAAGGGAAATACTATTCTTCATGAAAACAATTATTCAACATGGAAAAATTAATAGATCACAATTCCTGGACTTTTTTCATTGTTAAATGTTATTTTTGAACATTTTAACAGCCATCATTTCCCCATGATTATATGAACATAATTGATACAGACTAAAAGCACATTCTCAACTTCTTTCAGACTGGAAGCCCAAATTTTCAGGTGCTAAGAGCTAGTTTTTACATTTGAATGTCTACTTATTTTGAGCAAAGGAGGGATCAGTTTTCATCCCTGGGAATACGTGTCGTCTTCCTCTCCCTATCTCTGTCTCTCAGTCTCTCTCCCCACCCCCTGCCTTGAAAAACAGAACAAAACGACCACTGAATTTCTGATAAAAAGGAAAGAATATTACCAAGTACTCACCAGCAAAGTTCCTGTAGAAAATTCTTGGAAAAGTTCTTTTTAAAACGGAGTTGAGCTTAGTTTAACCCTCCAGGCATAAAAGTGAAGATTTATCCCCTACTTTTTTTTTTCTTTCTTTTTCACTGGGTCAGGGAGCTAGAGGACTAGAAAGTCATGAAAGAAATGCAATTTGATCTTGTGAGCTGGGTGAAAGGGAGAGGTAAGAACTTGAAGATTATACAGTCAGAGGTTGCTTCCGTCTATTGGAGCAAAGAGGGGTTGCTCAGTTTGTTTCAAAGTGATCACCAACAGTGGGGAAAAGCAGAGCTTCCTGTTTAGCTCATTCTAACCCAGCCTGCATTTTAGGCTAATTTGTTTTGCCAAACTCTCAAAAGACTGCTTTCTAGTATGGAGGAAACAGTACAGGAAAGCAGCTTGTATTCAGATTTCATTCTGTACCATTTTAAAGTGGGGGCTTCTTAACATTCTGATGAGGTTTTTTGTGTGTATGCAATAACCTGGTATGGGGAGAGAGAAGGACTTTTTTCACAGTTCTAAGAACTTTTTGGCTCTCATATAACAATAATACCTCACATATATATCACTTTGGAAATTTGCAAAGCAGTTTACTTACATTGTTATATTTTGTCTTCATATAGCCCTTTGACAAAGGTGTTCTTATTTTGCCCACTTTACAGAGGAAATCAGGTCTCATTAGGTTATGACTTATCACAGTAACATAGTTAATAAATGCCAGACACACATTATAATTGAATTGCTATCTAATAAAGTTTTTAAAGATTATTTTCCAAGTTCTATTTTATTCAGCTTTTCTTAAACTACTCATACTCTTGATTGGGTAATAGATTTAGATCTAGAAGGAATGTCAGACGGCCACCTCTCATGTAACCTTACAGATTAAGAACCTGAGGATCAGAGTCTTTCCCAGGGGTGTGCTGGAGTCATCACTAACCAGTTTGTGAGAACTCATTACTAAATTTTCAAATTTTCAGTGTGAGCATTTATATTTCAAAAATCTGCAAATGTACACACCAGGATTGTGTAGACTTAAGAGAGTGAAAGTAATGCAGATTAAACTTAAAAGCACAGGAGTACAGTGCACCCTTTTCCTACCACACACTCCCTGCCCCAGAGCCAGTTGTTAAACATCTGCCAGCACTGCCCTGTTTTGTTCTTTGTACACTGCTTGAGTTCAACAGGAGTGTTGTTAACAGAAGGCTTAGGAAGTTCTTAAACTGAAGGTGTAGTGATTGTAGGTTATGCATAATAACAATAAGTGGCATTTATATAGCACTTTATGGTTTTTAAACTGCTTTACATCCATTGTCTCATTTGAGCGTCACAATCACCCTAGACTCTCCCAAAACAGAATATAAATTGTTTGTGAGTAGGGATTATTTTACTCTTGCTACTTGTAGCCTCAGTGTCTAGCACAGTGCCTGGTTAGGCACTTAATAAATACTTGTTAGCTCTTTGATTGCCAAGGGTCACACAGATAAAAAGAAACATAGCTATTATTTGAAAGTGGAGCAGCTGACTAGAAATTCAGTGAGCTTTCTATTGCATCATACTATTTATTTCTGCAATACCAGTCAAGAAAAGTCAGTTATTTTATTTCACTTTTTTATTTATTTTAAATTTAAATACTAAAAATCAAATAGCCAATAAGAAAAGAAAAAGAAACATATTATAAATTTAAATGCTAAGACTTAAATACAAATAAGAAAAGGAAAAAGCATTGCCATGTGCACAGCAGAAGGTAAAAGAGGATTCAAAATATATAGCAATAAATTTCCATTTCAAGAAAGCCTATATAATAAATTCTACACATAGTGTTCAGACCTGTCATCTTTTCTTTGCTTCCTTGTAAAAAATTTTTTGTTCTCTGCTGTGCACTTTTTACTTTGTTCTTCCCCCTCCTCCACCCCTCCCACAAGAAGGCTATATTTAAGTGGATACATGCACACACACACACACACGTGCATACACACACATACACACACAATATGTATGTATATGAATACATAGGTACATATATTAGTGTGTACAAACATATACATACATATACATGAATATATGCATGTATATACACCAACATATATACATACATGCATGCATGCACATACTTATACTTAAATATTTATAATCATACTCATATACAGACATATACATTCATATGCATCTACATAAGACTGAACCATACTTGTTTGTCCTCTGTTTTTCTGAGGGTGGATGACATCTTCCTTCATAAGTATAAAGTCTTTCCATATTTTTCTAAGTCCAGCAACTCATCATTTCCTACACCACAGCAATATTCTAACCTTATACAGTCTACTTATTTTAAGTAGTCTAAAATAATATTGATTAATATAGCTGACATAGAGTGTAATTTCCCTATTCTTCTCTTTGATTAAATCTATTTTAGCTTTAATTTTGTCTAGTTGTTGATTACTACCCCTGCATTTTTTCCTAATAAATTCTACTCCTGATCTTTATATTTGTATGTATCTCTTATTTCCTATCCCTCCTGACTCCTCTACTTTCCTTCTACCCCCTACCTTGACCTCCTCTTACTTAACCTGTCCCTCCTCCAAAGATCTCTCCCTTATCCACCCTCTGCACCCTTTCCTCTTATCCTCTTGTTCTGTCTGATTTTAGAAGACTTTTATAGCCCTCCAAATACATTTGTTATTCCCTCTTTATCCCATTTCTGTTAATCTAAGAACCCTTCTATTCTCCCCCTTATGCTATTTCTTCACCGTCTTATTTCTTTATAAATTTAGAAGACTTTTATTCCCTTCCAAATGTATATATTGCTCTCTTTTAAATCTCTCTTTTAAATGTGAGTTGGGTTCCCTCCAAAAATCCCTCCCTTATCTTCTCCCCCCTCCCTATCCTCTTAGCTTTTTATTTTCTTTTATTTCTTTCTGAATTTAGAAGACTTTTATTCCTATATATATGTATATATATACACACATATACATACACACACACATACATATAGACATACATATATCAATTATTCCCTCTTTAACCCATTCCCCATGAGAGTAGAATTCCAGAAGAACCAGCCCTCTTCACTCATCCAATTCCATCAGTATCAGTTGTTCCTCTCACACCTCATCTATAAGATAATTACTCTTTCTACCTTTTCTGAAATGGTTTTACTTTTTAGAATTACATCATACTCAAGTCTACCCTAATATTTCTTTTGAACTAACCAATTACTAATAATAATCTAAGAAATATATTTTACATTTCCTCACATAAAAAGTAAACAGTCTGTTCTTATTGAGTCCTTTGTAATTAGCCTTTCACGTGTACCTTATATTTCTCTTGGATTTTGCATGCCAAATTTTCTATTATGTTGAGGAGTTTTTCTGGCAACAAAAATCCTGAACATCTGGAAGTTCATTGGATTTCCTTTTTTTTCCCATTCTGGATTGTGCTTTACTTTGTTGGTTAAAAAAACTTTTTCTCAATCTCTCTCATTTGATTTTTAATCTTTTTCTTTAAGTTCTTCTATAAATTCTTTTTGGACAGGTGACCATTTGAAATTACTCTTTGAGGTAGAAGAGGCTTTTTTTGCTCCAATATCCTCCTCTGAAGATGAACCCTGGTCTTTTCTATTCTCATAGTAACTTTCTATAGTTCTTTCTCCTTTGCCTACTCTTTTTTTTTTTTGGTAGCAACCTATTATTATAATCGCCTCTAATCCTGGGGTGTGGAGGATGGTGCCTCTGGCCTCAGATCCTCCTTTAGTTCTCCACTCTGTCCTGCAACCAAAACCAAGAACTCCACCCTCCTATAAATGCCAACAGCCAGTGGGGTCCCAGGCTCACTGCCTCTGCACTCACAGGACATGATCTGGTTCCTTCTCACCTAGGGCTGTGTCTTGGCAGCACAACTGGGTCTGTTGTCCCTTGTCAGCAGAGGTTCTCTCAATCTTCTTCTGTTCAGACATCCAACTCCCCACACTGTCCAGGTGATGAAAATTCCCATGGCTGAGGCCACTTCCCAACTCAGCTAGCCCCAAGGCTTTCCACTTTCCATTTCAGTGGAACTATCCTGGAGGTGTTTACACTTCACAGGTACCAAACCAGGGTCCAGGAATATTTCTTTGTATGTTCTCCAATTGTCACAGGAGGAACACTGTTCTTTCTCAGCTCTTGTTTATATTTACCTCTTCACATTCTCCTGGAGGTGCTATTTTGTCTTGTTTGTGGAGGAAATATGGAGAGCTTGGAATTTTCTGACCTACTCTGCCATCTTCCCCAAATCCTCTCCACAATTATTTTAAATAAAAAAAAATTTCCTCCTCTCAACCCCCTTAAATTTCTTCTCCATCCTGAACTTTACCTTACTATTTCATGATCCCATCACTGGAAAATGCACTTTCATCCATCTGTTGTGAAATATTGGAATCATCTCTGACTGCTATCACTAGAAATTTAAGGAGGTAGCAGTCCTCTTTCCACATGTATTTCATGGCAATTGAGATTCTTTTGTTCAGGGAGGACTAGTGTCTTTGGTGTGAGGCTTGCTGAGCCCTTTTCAGGGCTGCTCATCTACCTTTAGTGCCCACCTGTCACCTAACTCTCACCTGCGGCTCCACGAAGATGTAGAATACACAGTGACCACATCCTGACAAAACTCCATCAGTAGATGGGTTAAACCAGATTGAGGGTAACCGACAAGCCTCAAACCTGTCAGTGCATTAAGGGAATCTCTAGTCCAAGTATGTGAAGATTTCCCGCTGTAGAATGGGAAGATGAGAACAATTTGTTCCAATTGTCATGGAATTTGCTGATGCAGGTGCTGATAGCACTTAAGAACATGCTCAGATATCAAAGAAGTGAAGGTCATCCACTGCATCCTGGGCCATCTCCATTTATACTGACTTTTGTCCTGCCACTGGACCCCAATGATGCTAGAAGGGAGAGTGAGGCTGATGGCTTTGTGCAACTCTGCCTCACTTAAATCCAATTCACACGAGTCAAGACATCATCCCATTACATCATTGGTCCTCTTCTAAAACCAAGGATGTTTCAACAATCAGCCCTTACCTTCATGTGCACTGGATACTTAGTCAAAAGAGAATTGAAACCGGGAGTGTTGTGAAGCTGAGATAATGAATACAAAGCACCTTGTAAACCTCAAAGTGCTATATAAATGCCAATTGCTATCATGATAATAGTGATTAGCCTCCAATTTGGTGACGACTTCATCCCCTGAGCCCTCTGTTGCACTGCTGCTGATCTAAAGCAATGTTTATAAAACAATACAGAGGTCTTCTGG